GTTTCCAGACTAAATCCTGTGCGATTAAAGAATTTATCTACTACAGCAGGAAAATTAAATATGCTTTTAAACAATGCTCGAGGAATATTTGCTAAATTTTAATCTGGCCAGTCATAAAAATATTTCAGTGCACGTATTATTTAACTGCCATACTCTGCACAGGGTCTCGTTTTACACGATACCTTTATCGCATAATTCACTTTTACACCATTTTTTTTTTTTAACATATTTTACTCACCTTGACAATGACAAACGATGTTTTAAACTTGTTTTATTCATATTTACATAATTTTGTTAACACGCTTTGTTTATTTTTACCTCGAAACGCAAGAAATCGATGAACATTCAAAAATGTTGTTGAATACACTCGTGTATTTCAAATTACTTTTCGTTATTTTAACACGAGTTTTATACTTCGTTGCAAATCAATTGTTTTACAATTTTTTACACGGCTTTTTCTACATGGTACGCATCTACCGTGTAAAACGAGTCCCAGGTGTATTTTAAATAAACATGCAATGGACACCAGGAATGTATTATGCTGTGGTAAAGTATAACAACCTAGAGAGCACAATATTTATGGCACTAATGGAAGAGCAAGAGTATGGAGGAAGGGGAATGGAGAATTAAATTTGCACGTGTGTCTCAAAAATAAATATTCTTTTAATCCACTGTATGTGCTATTTATGGTCTGTATTTATAAAAGGAACGGTCCGTATAAATTACCGATTAATTTACGTATATAAATACGACTTAATGACCAAATTAAGGAAATTAATGCACAAATTAATGTGCGAATTTTAAATATCTATTACGATTTTCGTGTTTAACGCTAGAATTATCAAACTAGCCAAAATGACTGGTTCCAAGCTTTTTGTTTCTGCAGTTACGAAAATTTGCAACTGTCTCTGACAAAATTAGCAGTTATTGTTATTCGGATAAAAATGTTATTATATATAAGATCACCAATTTTTATCGCGCCACTTCGATTATTATTATTTATGAATAGTATACCCGAATCGAATATGTACTAATTTTGCAAAATTTGTGTTAAAATTGTGTTTAGAATGTAGAATAAATTTGTGCTATGTATCTTTAACACATGTACGTAGTTTATAAGTCCTGGAAGTCACGCGAAGATGGTATTTATAACAAAGACTCATATCATAGATGAATATTTATATCATAGCAAAGATATATTAACCAACAGATAAATAACATAATTTGTACATTCTGGTTGATTCATATAAAGCACATCGCTATTACTTATAATTCAGTACTAGGAATCTTATAATTACAATGATTACGAATGCTTCTCACTGTAAATCACTACTATACAGTATCATTTTGTTACCATATAAATTAATGAAAATTATTGCTATTTATTATTCAGCAGAAAGAAACACAATAATCAAACTAACGATGAAAAATTTAATTATATGCTTCTGCCATATAATATTACTTCATTACTTTACAAAATCATTAAAAATTAAAAAATTAAAATGTTACTTATCATTCGACATTACGAATTCAATAATCACAGTAACCAGGAAATATTTGCTATATAAACTATTACTATTTAACAATAATAAAAGTCAGTACAAAGAATTGAATAAAAAAAGGAATTGACGATTATTACAAAATATTTCTCCTATATAATATTATAATAACTTGATTTCTTCATGACTACCATAAATATCGACATGATTATTCTTTTTTTTCTAAATTAACTAATGAATTCCAATTACTCGAACTTCTTTTTCAATACTTTGAATAATTAATAAGTTACAACGAAAAGTACTCTGAATATATGAATACGACATCTGTCAGTACCGAAACTTCTATAATCGCATTACAAAGGAAAAAATAGAAAAATATAGAAGCAAGAAACGTACTTCAGAAAAATATAGCAATTATCGAAACAGTTTCGATACAGTTCACCCGCTTCATAAATTACCCGGGAATTGGAAATAGGTAAATATTACAGTAAAAAGGTGATTTACTCGAGAGTGAAAGATCAGCAGCGAAATAGACAACGGATAAATATTAACTTTAATAATATTGGTATACGCGTCCCGAAGGTATGCTTTTCGGAAACGGAAGAAATCAACGAACGCAACACGCGACGCGATGTTATCGCTCCATTGCGATTCCAAAAGTTGCACGCTTATCACACAATACATAATACCGTTCACAAATTCTATTATCGCGTTCAATAATGTATATCGCGTCGCAAAGTTTCCATTCGTCCGATGACCGTATAATTTATCAAACTTACGATACAGAAGAAACTGTTAAATTTGTACATAATGCCGCTGGAAAGTGAAACGTCTGATTCCATTGATCCCATTTATCTTTGCCCCTCATTTATTATGAACAATTAAACGAGTCAAAACGTACGTTCTTTTCCACAAGAGGCATTGGACGAAAGTGCGCAATATTTTTCATTGTTCTCTTCCGGTGAATTCGTTCCTTTTTTACGTGCTTTTAATCTGTCAACGTGATTGAAAATGGATATATCAATTGAGCGATAAAATTCCATAGAAGTTCCTCTTGAAAATGTAGGACACATAGAAAGCTAATATTATTTGTAATTAGAAAAGCGAACCTTTTATTTGAGAAGATGGAAACACGTAGCTGATTAAACAAGCTACGGCGAATAAAAATATTTTTGCACATTTCGAAAATTTTTATTTAACATTCTTTCAAATATTAAAATAAATATCAGCTGAAATTATTATTTATAATGTAAAATTGTATCTAGTATTTGTATTTTAATCTAATTTTTGAATATGTATATACGAGTGGCAAAAATTCTGTATTTAATCAAAAACAGGTAAAAAATAATTGGAATTTTTTTTACTTAAGTGATAGCTATAATTTCAAAAATATTTAAATAATTTAAGTAATCTTTTATACTATATTTGTTACGTGTAAAAATAATTAATAATAGAAATTAAATTGTCCGTTAAATGTTACGGATTAAAGGTATCTTATTTGTTTAAAAAACATTTGAATCTTTTCTCGTCGCAATTTAATGGAAAATTTGAAAACAACGTGTATTATTTGCATTTACTTCGTGAAAAAGGAATATTTTTACGAATCAACGTCGACTTTTACGATGGAACAACAGATTTCCTAAATTATAATTTCATGAAAAATTATAATTACATACATGAATTCATTAACACGAACTTAATACACTCTTATTAGACGTATTTCATCTTTATGTGCTGGACATTGTTACCGTTATAAATTTTTAATGTCTGCTGTTTATACCGTATCACCTTTTTTAATTAATCTCTTAATTTATACCAAAATTAAAACTACCGAATATAGTTAACCGTGCACACAAAGATTTCATCTAAATTTAAAATTATTTCATCTAAAGTTCCTCTATTAATTAAGCAAAAGTATTATTCCTCGCTGTTTTTCCATTCAGACTTTTCACCTGAAACTTAAACGCGCGCGAGAAGCTGCTTAAAAAATAAACAGAGAAATATAATCGGACGCTATTTTTATCATAATTTGGAGTAAAAGGAGCAAGACCTTCTGCAACTAAGATTGATAATTATATTCTCCTTTTATTAGAACAGCTATTTCACACGAAACTAGCATAATTTCTCGTGAAAATTATTTCGTTTTCCTGCTTCCTTATGTGTCATTTTAATTTTTATATATTATTCTTATCTATCTTTCTTAATAATTTCTTAATAAGATCTTGCAATAAGTTAATAAGTATAATACTCTTGTCCTGTTCTATTTAGAATATCCTTCAGTCATCTAATCCCTATGCCTAAATAAATTATGACTGGAACGAGTACAACACAAATTTTGTCGATTTTTATCATAGAAATTCATCCAATCTACGAATAAATTTGATCACAACTATAAACCTATTACGAGTACGTTCAACTTCCATATATTTGAGTCCATAAGAATGGTCAATAACCTGTATTTTCTACATAAAATTATCAATAGTCTCTTTAACAATCTTCAAATTCTTAATGTTCCTTATCGATCATTTATATTGCACAATTTGTCCCGACTGTCTGTCTCCACATCCAGGTACTCTAACTCTAATCCTCTTCACAGAATCTGCTCTTTGACTAACAGTCTCATTATGAACATGATTAACATTATTGCTCTTGACTCGACATTGGCGTAGGTACTTTAAACCATTGCATTTGCGTATGCTGTGTACTCTATTCTCACTTTATATACAAGGTAGACCATTTAACCCTTTCCACTCGAATGTCACCATATAGTCGCCATTTTATTATTATACATATATTAAATTTGGGTATTTTTCTAAATTAAATTGTACGATAATACGTTCTCATAAAAATGTTTTTGTTTTGATCGAATAGGAGAAAAAATTCCGAGTTGATTGGTGGCCTTCTCAAATATAAATACGAATGCAAAGGGTTAACGCGCTTTCGGCAAATCAATTTTCTTCTTTTTAACAATAAATTTTTGATAAAACTTTCGTTAAAAATTCCGCATTCGACGTTATCGTCTTAATCACTCGTCTTTGTAATTTTCCTTCTCATGTACCTAATCAATTTATCACTATCTCTCGCCATTCGATTTTTTCAAAATTTTACTTCAACAAAATTAATTTCATTACGGTCGATGATACACTGTGAATTTCACGAAAATCAAGCGTCGCCATATTGAAAATTCTCAGACGTCCTACCATTTACGCCAAAATAAATTTCCGATCATTTTCCCGATTATTATTCATTGACATTAATCCAATTAAATCGCAAATAATCAAGGTGGTCGCAGTAATTAACTCAAAGTGTAAATATAAGATGGCATCATACCAGTTCGGGTAAACAAACGAAGAAGTGGTAAACGATGAGAGGTTGAGAAACACTGACATAAAAAATCAGAGACGAGAACGTCCATATGTTAAATTGTTGCGCATCGTGGAGCCGCGGTGTATACTAAACGCGAACAATGCAACCTTATCGCATTGCACGTTGCAAATCGCTCGTATATCAGACACGTTGCAGGTACGTGCAATCTCGCGGTATCTTCTCCTCACGGCGATGCGTCGTTATCATCGGAAGCGTGGCTACCGTGTCGAGTATGCGAGCAAAGTCGATCGCGACCGACTCGAGGAGAGCCGATCGTCGTCGGAATATCTAGAAACAAGAGTGTAACGAAGGATAACAAGTTGAAAGGAGACAATAATAATATGCGAGGCAGCCGAAAACGAAGGGAAGACAACAGACTGTCGAATCTTTACGTCGAAAGGCAACGGTCTTTTGTCTGCGTTTCATGACGTCCACGGAGGTGTCACGGTGAACAGAAAGAATCGGAAGCGAGGAAAAAGAAGTCACGTACGCAGCGATCACGACGAAGAATCGTTTTTTAACGACCGATCATCCGGCCCATCCATCGCGAGAAGAAGAGATTCGCCGGAGCCCCAGCCACCTCCACGACGAGATTCCCAGCCGAGATCGTTCTTTATTGTGAGTCTTTCTTCCATTCAGAATCCCTTTCGCGAGTTCTTTCAATGGTGTGGTTAAATTAAAATAAACGAAACGTTCGTTCGATCGAAAATCGATCGCTGCAGAGAGAGAGACGAATTTCTTCGAGCCGATCGCGTGTTTGGCCTCTAACGACTAGTGACACTGAATTACACGTTTGAGGATGTGCTCGCTGGTAAGATGGATGCTCGATGCTCGTGTTGCTAACGATACGGTTGAATTGAAATAGATTAAACGTTCTTTCGATCGAAAATCGGTCGCGTGATAAGCTCGTTGTGGAAGAAGAGATCATTTTCTCCCGAGCTGATCGCGTGCTTGCTTTTTAACCACTTGCGAAACTGAATTACACGTTCGTGGAAGTATTTGGTAATATGCTGGACTCGTTAGTTCACCCGTCTAGTAATTGTTCCAGCAACTCTCCGTGTAATTTGTTTCTCGTGTAACGCTGTCCTGAGATGAACGGTTTAATTTATACGGTATATGGTAACAAAGAACGAATGTATCAGTTGCTTGGAGACGAACGTATTCTTAAATGTATCACGGCCTTCTGTTTTTAACGAAGAGGCATTTTATGAAAATTTCTCCGAACGTACCAAGTATTTGACGAAGCTTGGACCAATTATTTAATCCTTTGCACTCGAGAAATGAGCCTAAGTCAGCGTTTAATCAGATTTCGAAGATCCATGTTAATTAACATATCAAATCTAAAATAACCTAAGATTTCACTATACAACTTTAATTATTACTAGTAATAATACTAATTTATCGTAATACTGATATATTAAAATAAATATAACAGCAATAATTACAGTGGTATGACGAAAATAATAATCACAGTTACAATTATTTATTCTCAACAAAAATCATCAAAAAGTCTAAAATCAATTATTCCAATTCACTTGTTAATATCAACAACAGCTACGACTATGCTGGAATATCATCATATGTACAACTCTTCATACCTGTTAAAATTTTTCCATAAACCTGTTCTTTGTACCTATATCCACTATCACATACCAATTTCATGTATATATATTCATCAAATTTGATACTAATTTTTATTGAGAAAAAAACAATCTTATTTATTTTCACTCTACAACTGAAATTATTACTACTAATAATACTAATTGATCGTAATACTGATATATTGAAATAAATATAACAGCAATAATTACAGTGGTATGGAATGTCGAAATAAAATAATTTTAAGTCTTAATTTATACCTGTATATCCTTATTTACCATTTCAAAAATATCCTCGACGGTACAGCAGAAAGTTTCTGAATTGCTATTTCTCTGTAACGAAAATAATCACCGAGTGCAAAGGGTTAATTCACAATTCGCCTAATCTTTTTACGAATTTATTCAGATTGGTGAATGATGTATATGTGTACTTGCAGTGAGAGGAACCGGAGCAGAATTTGTCGTCCAATTATACTCCATACTGCTCATTAGAATCACATTATTAAAGTGAAATATTTTTCAACAAACGTAGGAATTCGTATTCCAATTCGCTGTACCCTTTATTATAATACAACTGTTATCAACTTGTTACCATTGCTATCAAAACGTGGATTTTAAGGACTCTGGAATTTTTAATATCTCTCAGAACACTCTGGTAAATGTGAACCTACTTTGCATTGCTAGTGGCAGTTTCTCGAAGGACTTTGCTTTACCTACTTGGCTAATAATTATATGATTATAGGCCAATATTATAATTATTAGCCGAGACTATGATCTTTCGATACCGAGCATCGGTGATGTGCTCGAGTGAGAGAGCATTTACTATTAATCCTAAATACCACGGAAGAATGAGTTGTAAGTTAAGTTTGACACAGAGACTTGACGTGACCGATCCACATTTTCGTGTCATTTTCACTCAAAGGGTTAACAGCCTGCACTCGCGGTCCTCGAAAGAGTTCACAATTTAGTAGCAGCCTGTATATCACGACACACGTAGATACAGCTGACCCACATGTGACTCGTAAACAGCCTTTTCATACCATTTCAACGAACGCTCGAAAAACCTAGAAACTACACATTTCGCGGTATTCCACCTTCGACAAATCATCCTCGAAACGCAGCCAATACACGTATAACTGTGTCGTCGAACAGAATTTACATTTGCCAATGGAAATACACCCACGTTCTTAGCACATTGTACATCGAATGGATTTTAACTGTTACAAGACACGAATACTTTGGAGACAATGTATCGAAAATTTCTTACATTTTATTTAATTTAAGGAAGTACATTATTTATTTTATAAATATATTATTAGTATAGTATAAGTATATTAATTTAGATTAATTAGTTTAATAATAAGTATATTAATGAATTAGTAAGTATATTATATTTATTCTATTAAGTACCAAAATAAAAATTTTATATTTCATCTTAAAATTAAATACCAGATAAAATGAATTAGTAAGTATATTACATTTATTTTATTAAGTACCAAAATAAAAATGTTATATTTTATCTTAAAATTAAATACCAGATAAAAAAGATAATGATAGTAGTAAAATTCCACAATATTGCAGTTCTGGTGTATAATGTGTTGAGATATTTTAAGAATCAGTGACTTCTATATAGCAATTATGCAATACCTACATCAAAGCCTATCACTTAGATATGGATTACGTGTCGCGTTAATTTAGGAAGAGAAATTCAAAGTGCAAAGTGTAGATAAATTTATTTCTTTAAAAGCTTCCAGCATAATGATTAATAACAGTGTAGCCTTGTGTGTTAGTCTGGAACGAAATTGCACTAATCACTGTGTACCATAGGAGAGAAATGAACTTCATGAATGGTCTGATATGATTGATATGAATGAACTTCTTGCTCGTTCCGTGTGAACAAGTGCAGAAAAGATTGAGTAATTGTTTGGGGTTGAAATTCGGTTTCATGAGAGACGTTTGAATGAATTCCAGGAACGTACGTGGTGTTTCAAGTGCAAGGAGATTCGTGGAACGAATATACAAACAACTACTTGATATTTTTGAGATTAGATTAAGGTCGAATTACTCAGTCAGAATAGAAAAATCAACGAATAAACATTTGAATTCTAATAAAATAAACTTCTCGTTTTCACGAGTTAAATAACGAAATTCAAACGATAAGAATGATACATTATCGTTTGAGAAATTAAATTAATTTTAACCCTTTCATTATGGGCTAAAAATACCATAGTTATCTCTTTAATAGCTCATAATACCGAGAATATCGTTTCAACTTTTTAAACGCAACGTTGCAATTGATTAATATACAAATCGATATCATACGTATTAGAAGTGAAAAAATTCAGTTCAACTCTGGCGAAACAAATTTCTTTCTCTGCTAAAAATATTTTCGAAAACAGCCGGGGCTGAAACGTTTAAATAGAATTAAATCGGATCACAAAGCGTCATACGTTACTTTTAAATATACCAATTAAATTAAAGTTCTGATAATACGTCTAACGTTGATAACTCGATAGACATTCCCTCGGATTTTTAAAACGATTCTTAACCCCCCGGGTCTTTGCATTGATCACTCCTCTGCTTTCATCCCTCGTACAATGTTTGCCGATGACGCTATTACATTTGTGAGCGATAAACTGAATATTAATGAAGAGCAAACATGTGAATTCAGCATTCGTTTCCCGATTTTCTCCATTTGTAATCGCTTTCCATACGTTTGAATCTCCGTGTATACCATTATCCCGGCAGACGTGAACCGTTACTCTTGAAACTCTTTGTTCCTTATCCTGAAACGGATTAACTTACAAAATCCGAATTATGAGCACTGAATTTACAAGTTTTTACCAAACAATAGATTCCTGGAACAATAGTCGAGCTAAATAAAATCCTTATCGATAAAAATCTCTGTTTCGTGTACTAGGAAATCTAAAAGCATATCCACCGTATAACATCGAAAATTCGCTCGAAGAAAATGTTTAAACTCGCATAATAATCTGAAAAAAATAGGAAACGAAAAACTTATTTAAGGAACGTTTAAAGACATATAAGGGATGAATATGTTAATACATTTCGTTATTTCAATTTCAGCAAACGTATGTGTACCTACGATAGCCTTTCATTTTCCATTAGCATTTTTTTGCATTTTTTAATTTCACTGAAACACTCTTTTTTCTTTTTTCTTTTTCTATCCAGCCAAGGTGGAAAATGCACTTCTGGAGATACAGAGAGATGATCGATTTTACCATGTTTGCTGAAGCTAGGTTGAATACTAATCAAGCTACCAAGGTGTTTCAATATTCTCTCGCCTATCTTCTCCATTTTTCTCTTTTTTTTTTTTTTCGCTATCGAAATCCATTTCAAAAGCAATCGTGATATTTGAACACGATGTTCGTTATACCGTAACCACTTGAGGAATCATTGACTTCGTTAGGATACAAATTCGATCGTTTCTCCTCTCTCTCTCTCTCTCTCTCTCTCTCTTTCTCTCTTTTTCTCTCCGATCTCATTTTTTCGAATATTCGTGTTCCATCGACTGCACTTAGATCGTAATTATCAACGACAGTTGCAGCAAAGACGAATGATTTTTGTGCCGCAGTATTTCATTGAAATTCCACCGTGCCAACATTCTCTATCAAGCAGTAGTTATGAAACTGTCGAACGTGTACACAAATAGCAAAGCCAGGCTCGAATATTAACCGATCCGCCAATGTGAAATGTTTCGAGCGCATTTTAGTGTTTTTCACTATTTACATGGGATTTTGCTTCTGCCACCGCCTATCGTTAAAAGCGAGTATGACGATTGAGAGAAAGCTTTCAGGTTGAAACTATAACAGATTACTTTTATTTTGTGACAAAATTCGTGAAGTTCAAGAGCTTTGTTTTTGTTTAAATGCCGACGTTTAATTACTGTTTAGATTTTCTCACGAGTAGTTTGTATGATATCCCGTTCACTTTCTGTTATACAGTTAACTCTTTACAATCTTCCATAATTACAATTTTTATGATTTTGATTTTCAGATGAAACAGTTACTGCGAACGTTTTCTTTTCAATTATCGCAATCAAATGATCGAACGTTGAGAATATTATAAGTAATTTTTTATTTTTATCTTTATGGACAATTTTAATGAACAAAATGGAAGTTATTTTTCTAAAGACACGGTGCAATCAGAACTGTTTAATTGAATTTAATAAGGAATTATTTAATCATTTAGACAATTGTTATATGTGTAAGTTAGACAAATGAACAATTATCAAGGCATAAATTTTTGTCGTGTTGTAATGAAAATGAATGTATAGTTTCGCTATTTGCAATTCGCGAACTACGTTGATTTATGAAATATAAAAACAAATCATTTAAACAAGCAATAAAATCTAAGATTTCACTTGACTAATGTTCTGCTAAACTGATTCTGTATAGACTTTACATTAACACATTAACACTTATTAATGCCACGATAAAGAATTGTTCAAAAGTACAACTGGCGATGACATATTACATTTTTCAAATTTATATTATACGTATGAATATGTTTCAAAGATTATATTTTTTCTGTATAAAAATAACAGAAGATCGATTAACGTTTGTATGACAAATTTTTACACGTATAATTATAAGTAATTATAAATAATTATAAAAATAAAAATACAATCGATAACGGTAATAGGTTTATCATAAACGAACGAAAACGTATATTTCCTCGATACGATCTTGAAGGTAACATCTTGGGAAAACTTCGTGGTGCTCCGATGGTAAATTCGTTACCTACAAGAAGCATATGGTAATAAATAATAGCGATATAGTGCTGGCTGTATTGCTACAGCATGTGCATTAGCGTAATGACGGTAATTACCAGTCTACACAATTATTCTTATGATACTATACAGGAACGTGTATCATGAAGATGCATCGTAATGGAAATTTAATCGTACAAAAAATTCAATACCGTGATAGTTGACCGCGTGATTCGCCTTTCAGTTTTCTCGCGTTAAACACCGCGGAGAATTCGATAAATTCGGAACAACCAGCATGGCGGAAATTCCGCGGATAAATGAAAGACAAAAACGAGCCATGGTAAACGTATGACCCAGTTGAAACAATTTATCAGTGATACAAAGCGTGCAGCCCGCACTAAAAAAAAAGATAAATAATAGATAACAAGAGATAAGCTGCAGGCCAATTTATCGCTATCGTCAACAATTTCCCAGAGTGCAACGTGCAAATGAAACTTTATGCAGATGCTTCGCAATAGTCGCGTAAATAAGTACGATTTGGCCGGTTCGCTAATGAATTTTACTTACAAACCAGTTTTCAACGATTCATCTGGAACGATATCGATATGTGGAAGCATGAATTTCTTTTATGCACGGTTGGCCGACATGCAGCCACTTTCATGTTAAATACGAATGACCACACGCATGTTTTTAGATCACGTTCCTATATAACACTCTCGATTCGTTTTCAATGCGTTTAATACAAACGTACCTTCACCTGTCAATCTCCGATGGAAAGTAACGTAAAATAACATCGAGTCGATCAAATTATTTCACAGAATATTCTCGCATAAATCATCCAGCAATAACGATTCAAACATCGCGAGCCACGCAAAATTAATTTTTGTACCGTTCAGCTATTTCGTTATTTCGATCACGTCTAATCCCCTTTAAAGGATTGAATATCGAATCGTTCATTGTTCTTCGAGTCAATATACGTGAGAGATACTTCCAATCGAACATTTCCTAGTTCTATATGTTCACCAACTTTCCATGATCAATGAAGTTACATCAAAGAATAACGCCATTGTATTGAAATACAAGAAACGTATGCATACACAACCGTTTCAATTTGATCGCGTACCGTATTAGCAGATCTCTACTAGACTACAATTGCCAACGACTCTCCTTCACCCAATAGTGACATTAGAACCACGTGACTCAAGATCAAGCACGCAGGCGCAGATCATCGAGCGGGCAGTTTAGTGGCAATCTCGCACGTGTGTTCAAATGAAACTAGCTGCGTTCCAGTAGTTTCCAGTGCCGACGAAGGATTTTCAGTGCTGTCGTCCATTACAATTGTCGAATTAAAAAAATCGGTGAGAAAAAAGGACTGCAGAGATACGTAAATCGGTGAGTGAACGTAGCAAATCTAACATTGAATTGTGGAAACGAAAATACCGAAATCGAGGCTATATATGAATCGCGATCGACCCACGTGTGATGAGAATATATATTGTACATACGTGACACGATTCACCGCGAACTGACGTGTAATGCGTGTTGCATAGACGTCACAGAATCGCAAAAATTTATGCAACATTCAGTTTTCTTAGTGGTAGATCTACTTGTAAAACGAGATACCAGCTGCTAAGACTGTCACTTTTTATCACGTTAATAACGTGACACTGCTCTCGAAAAATTTCTCGTTCTCGATATTAACGATTTATAAATTTACAAAACGTAAGTCTGTGTGTTTCTTTGTTTGCGACAAATATTTTTATCGTCTCGTTCTTGACACACGAGTTCTGTTACACAGACATTTTGGATAAAAGAAGTTACTGTATGTAATAGAGATTACGGTTATTTGATAAATAATTTGTACGTTGATTTTAAAAGGTAAGATAATCGATATTATTCAATGTGTACTCAGCTATTAGTCTTCTGTTCTGATGTATTTGTGTACTGTATTGAATTTCAAGGTCGACCTTGCCGATACCATGTATAATCTTATACTATACGCACGTACCAAAATATCTCGCCCTTGTACAAAAACTGAACGTTCGTTCCAAACATTTGCTGAAGGAAAACTTAGATCAGAGGCTTATAATTTACACGAAAGTTTACATTTTTATATTAATTCCAAATTTAAATATTCTTAATAAATTAATTTTCCCAGTCAATAATAATTAGCAAGATAAAAAATACATTATTTTCAGCATCATATGTATATTGAATGTTAAATATTATTGTATATTTTAATTATAATTAATGTGTCGTTTATTATTATTCATCTGTTAATAACTAATATTAAATTTTATCAATAAAATTTATATTAATTTTATCTTTATATTTTATTCCATGTATAATAGTAAAATATCCTTTTTATATATTGTTTACAGATTATTAATTTAACAAGATGGTATCATCAACAATAGTGGAAAATGGAAAATCCAACACACCAAAGAAACCTTCTGCCGTGGGTATTGATCCAGGCAATTATCGTTTAGTTGGTTGGGATATGGATACAACAGGCAAGAAAGTTATAGATGAAATATGCCAAATAGCTGGATATACACCTAGTTCCTTGTATTCTCAATATGTAATGCCATATAAAGATCTTAATCCTCCAGCTATGAAAAGACATAACATGAAAATTGTAACTATTGGCAAATTTCGTGTACTTAAAGATAATAAAACTAATAAGGTACATATTATAATAAATTTCATAATCATCATGGAAGTACTATTTGTCTTACATTTTATATGTTCATAGGCATTAAAAACTAAAAGTGAAGTGTCTGCATTAACAGACTTTCTAACTTGGTTGTCAGATATGAGTGGAGATGCAACAGATGGTATAATATTAGTGTATCATGAACCACGTAAAGTTATTCCTGCCATGTTAATTGAATCCTTAAAAAAATATAATCTTCTGGAAAGATTTAAGCAAATTGTTAAAGGATTTGCAAATGGATTTAACATTGCTGAAGTAAAATGTGCAAACACAGTTCGTGCATTTTCTCTTAGAACGTTATCTCAAACTTTATTTAACCAGGTAAGTAAAATTTATATGATAGGAAGTATAGTCATTATATGTTAAAAACAAATTCTCATTTGCCAATAAGTAAAAGATAGTTCACTACTATATTTCTAATATAAGATTGTTATAATTTAAGGAAGTACAATTAGATAATGCAAAAGAGAGAGCATGCCTGGCTTTACAAATAGTACAACACTTGAGTTTATTAGAAATTACAAATGGAAACGAAGCAAATGGTAGCGGTGATAGTGATAGTTCTATGAAAAGTACTGTTGAGTTTATTAGGGAATTTGTTCAACCAGTAGAAATAGAAGAACAAGAATATGCAGGTATTTAAAATAAATTAAAAATTATGTGAAAATTCCTTGATTATATAAAATTTTTCAAAAATATGTAATATATTGATCTTATTTTAGAACTGAAAGTAATATTTGAACGTCAAAATAGTTTAAGACCTATTTTTGGATTTCTCTATCGTGTAAATCGTCGAGAACGTCAACAGGTTAGTCCTTTACGACGATTATTAGCTGAAGCAGGAATAGAATATACCCAGTTGCAGGTTCGTACAATTTAAAAAAAATTATTTTTAATCAAATTATATTATGAAAATATATTAAACTGGCGAGATTTCTAATTTAATTGCCGTCTGAATTAATTTATTGCGTTACAGGATGCATGGAGTAACGGAAAAAAAGAAGGTTTAGAGAAGTTAATTAAAGAAAAATTAACTGCAGCTGAAGAGAAAAAAGTCGAAGATTTACTAAGTGTGCTTGAAAGTCACTTCGACCCCGATAAAGAACCTAAATTAAGAATATCGGTAGACAGAAACCAAATAAAAATGGAAAATTCTAATATCAATGACGATAAAGAAAATAACAATAAGTGTGATTCGGGTACAGAAAGTCCGGATACCACTACTTCTAATTCACCACTTAAAATAAAATCCGAATGTTCTGAGAATAGTACAATTATAGCAGAGGAATAAGAGCTCTCGGTTCTTATTTTCAGTGCCTTTTAACTAGGATTATAAGATTTTAATTATAAGATCAATATTGTTATCAGTAACTGAGTTTATAACCATTCCGTTAATTCTTATCGTAACGTTACTCTAGTGTGATAAAGTATGAGTGTTATTTGTTGCAGTATTGTATTTAAGTTTTTATTTTCATTACTGTAACGAAGTATATATTGTATCCTTGATGGATACAGAATTCGACTTAGTTTACAAAAATATGTACAAATAACACATTAATCATTTTTTTTTTTTTTTTTTTTAGTTTGTGATAAGAAAATAATTTAATGTCTGTTTTGTTTAATTATTAATTTTATGCTCATTGATTTTTATTTAATCAGATTAACGTTATAACAAGTGATTGTTTAGAGACTGTCGACATAGAAATATATTTAAACGCTATAGAATTTTTGTTTCTTATTATTTCTGAGATTAGCTGATAATGTTCTTTTTTTTACTTATTGCTAGTAAAGTTTGCGTATAGAGTACATAGTGATATTTTAAGAAAAGAAAGATATATATATTTTTATACCCCAAAAGTTTAGTAAAAAGAATGATGCATAGTGTTGCATTTATACGTTAAATTTTGTTATATTAAACAATGAAATAAAGACTTGAAACTGTAACTTTTCATTTCGATTATTAACATAAACTTAGGTATTTTTTACTTTTGGTTCAACCTCCCTCCCGCCCTCTCTCACTCTCTCTCTCTCTCTTCCCCTCCCTCCCTCTCGTTCTCCCCCTCTTTCTCTAAGAAGATAACAAAATGTAATTTGTAATCAATTAAGCCATACACTACGCAATATATAAAACCACGATAACGGCATATTTAAAAGAAAAACAGCAAAAAATTCAAACATGACTTTTTCTGTTATGAAACGCATCTCGAATCAGTGTAACCATCGAGATAAAGTCAGAAATGAATTAAATATACGAATGCCTATGCAGTGGACCGTTGTATCCGCTTATGGAGTTCCATAAAGCATGCCAAACGCCTCGATGCGTAAACAGGACGGTGCACCGCGTACAGGATTAAAAAAATGTATACTTGCTAAGAAAAGTATCAACATGGATCTCCTTATAACAAAGTAAGACTTAACTGTTTAACGAAAGTTTGTGAACTTGTTGCATTCATCAGCAATTTCTAAGTAAGTAACAGACCATGAAGTATTGTACAAAGGAGTTTGTTTAGAATCTTCTTCACTTCTACAATTTATTAAATTATTATTATAAATATTTAAGAAAGTTATATGCATTTTACTTTTTTCTATTTTTATTCAAACTATTAATTTTAATATAATATTTTTGTACAATATATTTAACATATAATATTAAACGTTAACAGTAATAGTAATTCACAATAAAAAATATAATTAATGTTGATATTATTATATTAGTAAAATATAACTGATAATCAATAATTAATAAGCAATTAAGATGTTAAAATGATATGTGTCTAGTAATAATTATAAAAAAGAATGTTGTGATAATAGTTATTTACGTGTATTCTAAGATATCGGACACTCAACTTCGTCTTATTAATTTCTTTCCATAGACAGCGAACCGTAAAGCACAAAATACACTTACTGCATCACAATTACTGTAACAGGCAGCGAAAAGGAAATTACTGCTACTCAGAGGCTCGTTAATTGTAAGCCCGTAACCATAAGAAAGTATAGCGATAAGAAACTTTTTAATTGAAAAATTGCACATTTCACAAAAAAAGATATCAAATGTTAGTAGAGCGTGTTTTAATACCTTATATGACGTTTATTTGAGATTTTTCTCACATGTTAAACATGTGATACTTTTTTAGACGCTGAAATAAGACGAAAAATTTTCCGATCGCTTTATTGTTTTATGATAAAAAATTACATAATTAATATCAGTTTGCAAAAGACAATATGCCATTTCCATGACCACAACACATTTAAGCTATTCCGGACAATACTTAACACTCTGACATGTGAACACGTTTTTGCTATTTTATTGCATCATAATCCTTTACTTTTTGCAGGTCTCGGATTTCTGCGTCAGCGGAATTTTCGACTTCCGAATACCTATTGTTCATCCGTCTCGATTTTAAGATTCATAGACAAACATAATTACACATATAACAGCTAGGAAAGCATGACAAATAATTACGATAATAAGCTTCGATGATTATTTCATCTTTTTATTTCTATTCGAAACTTGAATTATATCGTAATGATTCCTATCACATTAACGAATTTTATTACTCTTTTACACAAATAGAAGCTCTGTGTTCCTGTTTGAAAAAAATTGCAAGCAGTTCCGCGAAATTACCTCATTAGAGACCATAATTACTTAATTATTTTACACCTAAAAAATATTTGATATATAAATTAATCTATCTCTATTACTTTGCACGTTAAATTTCATAATTTTGTAGGAGAATTTAATTTTAATTTATATTTCTTTATTATTTAAAATAGAAACTCGAATTACTTTTTATTCAATATGCTTTACACAAAAGTACATTATAAAACCTACTATACATAACCCCAACGCAAAATTTTAGGTTACCTTAATGCATCAAAATTGTATTCTAAAACCTACCAACTTTTAACTTCGTATTTCAAAATTATGTTCTTAAAGTTACTGCTCACAGTTTAAAGCAAAACAAACTTTTTTATCAAATTGTAAGTTAGACTGATAGAACCGTTAATCAACAGCTTGAGCATGATAAACAAAGGCAAGAAAAAGATGGTGCAGAATTTGCGCGCATTTACGGTTTCAGTTTTCATTGTCGACACTTTCGTAATATGCAGGTAACGGATATATTTTCCGTCCTGAAGCGTAACAAATGATAACGGTCAACAATTATTGCTTAAACTTCTAGCAAGTGGGACTATATAACAAACGTACTTACGAAGAATATATTCTTACCACTACTAAAAAGAATTCCACGTTCAGGAAGTGTCAAATAAAATAAGTGAATAGGCGCAATTCGATTTTTATTAAAAAACAATTATTTCGTGACATACAGGTTGTTGGCAATAATTCACTTCCACGGGACTTAGGCAAACAGAAAACAACCGGAAAGCAATTTTCCGGAGAATCTCGATGCGTTCGAACGCATGACATTGCATTGTATTGCATTAGTCTCACTCAATCAGTGACAGGTACGATAAACTGGCACGAAAATGACAACCAACACGACGTCATTCTCACTTTTTAGGTAACTATCAGACGCAACTAATAAAAAAAAAAAAAAAAATAAAATGTAACTAATGACACAGAAATTTCGTTACTTATATCAGTGTTTGGTTAGAGTTCGTTAAAGCATAGAGAAAGGGATTATATGATGAGATGAACGATCAAACTATGCTATTGGTCAACGAGATAAGTCAGAAAGAAAGAAACAAATACCCAATCGATAAAGTAAATCGAACGGCAATATTCACAGTGGAATAAAGATAGATACTGATTCGTTTCATTAAACGAAGTATGTATACATATATATACTACATAACATACATCAGTCGTAGACATATCGAACAAAAAAGGAGGCATCTTTACAAAGAACAGTAATAAAAACTAAAAGAAAGTTTTAGTAGGTAGGCAAGGAATGAAAGGTGCGGATGTGAAGAATTAATTACACTGTTTACAGATTGTTAAATGGAACAATTACATTATGTTTTCAAATAACTTAGAAAAGTTAATTAAGTTCCTACAAATTAATCTTCCAGATGATATCGCAATGATGTGATTTATTACTGTACACTTGAAATTGAATAATTTTATAATTACGAAAATGATATATGTATTTGACTTAATTAAATAAGATTAGAAGGTATAAAAATTTAAATATACTCTATTTTAACATCATATTGAAACTTAACAGTCATTTCAAAATAAAGAATATTAAAACATTTGTTACCTACATTTTTAATATTTTATATAATTTTCCCATTATCCAAATAAACTTCAGCAGTGTTCCAATGTGTTTGATCGAATACTGGCATTGACCCAAAATCGACACACCGGAAAAGTCAGCAACCGGCTAAGCAATTCACCTTTTATGCATGTCAGAATCACGTAATGTTTCGCGATTCCGCCAGTTCACTGAGGCTTCCTAGACTGGAATGCTTTGACGAGTGAAAGAAACCGAAATGAAATTTTGATTCGTAATAAGAATGCTTCACGCATAACGAACACTTCTATTTTTAGTTAAAGATTGCATCCACGTCCAATGGAATCAAACAGGAAAATAAATAAAATATAAAAACTCACCATTGAAAATAACCACCTTGATTTCTTTTGTATTTGCACAAATGTTTTGCTACGTTTTCCTTTATGTATGCATCATCCTTTCGTTGTCTGAAAAATATTAGATAAAATGTGTTAATTGTGTTAAATGTGTTAAATGTGAAATTGCTTCTTTCTAATTATTTGTTCGATGTTTTCATGAAAAAAAAAGATAAGGAAAGATCAAATAAAATATTCGAAAAATGCGAGATTTTGGAAAGTAAAGAAATAAACCTATAAGGATACCTTGCAAACATTAATTTCTCTAATATTTCTCATATTTCCAATCTTCTATTTTAAAAATATCATTGTTGCTCCAAACTAACAGCCACCCTCTTTCCAGATGAAAACAGGGAACCATGAACCAGATCATTATGACGAAACCAGTACAATTGTTTAACCTTTCCTAATGAAATCTCTAAAAAAGGAAGAGAAATGAGGAAAAAGAAGAACAGCAAAGCAACTCAACAAAAGCAAGCCCAAAGGGAGATTGAGGAGTCGCCGTGTCCGCTCGAGGCCGTCACTGTTCACGAAGAGGACGCGGTAAGGATGGTTGTTAGCGGAGGCAGCAAGCATGCATTAACAGTACTCTGGATGGGCCGGTGGTTCTCTGGTTCCTTGATTTCCGTTCCTCCCCTCCAGGAGACGGTACCCGTTGGAGGAACATTTACCACGGAGGGAGAATTCTTGCGAGGTACACACGCCTCAGTTCATCGGGAATCTTCGTCAAAATTGCATCCCTCTCTGTGCAATCCCTTTAGCAGGAAGTGTGTTCTCGCGTGTTTCAGCCTTACGATCAAAGAACAAGGATAAGAAAGAGGAAGCACGTTGGATCATGTGGACCGTCCTGATTGCCGGATTTTGCACGGTGGGTGTCA